AAATAATTAAATTCATCATTGTCCCTTTTTGTTTTCAGACAACACTGGCAAGTATATAATCCTAAATATTGACATCATAGTATATTTTCCCAATTTTTCAGCATGAAAATTTTCTGTATGTGCATTTTTGTTGTGCATGCAAACCAAATAGAGTATGATTAGAATAAGACATATTTGGTGGCATTACACTCATATTGAAATATCTACCACATGGACACACAGTAATGTTCACTAAATTGAAAAGAATTGACAGACATAAAGATGAAATAAACTGGGTAAATAAGTGCCTTTGTAATTCCATCTGTCATAAAACCCAACATTAGAGATGGGAGTTATTGCCTCAGATTGCTCATTGCTGATTTATTGTGATCAGTTAGCTTTTCATATTTGTAAAATATAGGCTCAAAACAAAATTACAGAAACCATTCACTTGCTGCTTATTATATTCAAATTTTTATAATACCACTAGTTTTATCTGTTATATTGTATTTATATCTTATATAAAATCCTAAATGTTTCAGATACTATAGTATAAGGCTCTTATTACGCTAAATTGTCACTAACACTTTTGTTCAAAATGTATTTACTTCTCAACCAAAATTTATGTGCATAGTCAAAACACTTTTAAATATAGAGATTTCTTGATTGAAAAAATTAAGATAATGCTATCTTACCTCCCCAAACTACTTTTTGATTTCTTTTACTGCTTTCATCCCTGCAGCCAGGAAGACCTGAAAAGCTGGTAGCTCTGCAAACACAAATGCTCACAATTTTCTGACTTGCATATAATCTTCTCATTTTCAGATAACCTCATCTCCTTCCATATTCCCTTGCCTATATCCCCTTTAGATATTATTACAAATCATCTTTGAGAGGAACACAAAATAAAAATCACTTCCATTCTGAGATCTGGAAGTTTCTAGAATTAGAGGTAGGTCCAGGTTTCATGACACCCATGAAATAGTCATTTTTATTAGGCAGAGCATTTTGAAATTTTGTTTTCTTATTGCCCTTCCATACTATAATGTCAATTTCTAAGGAATCTTGTCTTCTTGATAAATCCTTGTTAATTTTTTATAAAAAATATGAAAACGATAAACTGAATGTGTTAGCAGTTTTCTTACTTTGCACATTAATAGGATTCTCTGATGTTCATTTGCTTTGTATAATTCTCTTAATGGAAGGCAATCCAGGGAGTGGTGAGATAGCTCAGTGGGTAACGGAGTTTATTGCCAAGTCTCACAACCTGAGTTTTATCCCTGGAACTGATTGCCCCAAGTAGTCCTCTGACCGCCACACATAGGCGCAATATGACCCCACTAAAAATTAAATAAAATAAATGTAAATGTAAACACTTCAAGTTTAGGAGTTTATCATAAAAAATGAAAGTAACGATTTAAGAAATGTTATGTATAAATAAAGGTGTTGGTGGCGCATGCCTTTAATCCCAGCACTCGGGAGGCAGAGGCAGGTGGATATCTGTGAGGTCGAAACCAGCCTGGTCTACAAGAGCTAGTTCCAGGATAGGCTCCAAAGCTACACAGAGAAACCCTGTCTCAGAAAACCAAAAAAAAAAAAAAAAAAAAAAACCAAAAAAAAAAAAAAACGCAAGAGCAGAAAGATTGTAATAATGTATATTCTATCTTACAATTTATATTAATATTTCTTATCTGAAATTAACTAGGAAAAAGATAATGAATCTCCATTACACAGTAATTAGGAATCGATTTAATTAATAATTTTTAATGCTTTCTTGCACCACTTTGGTTCTCTTGTCAATAATCATTTACTGCTTGTATGTAAACACACAATGGTAAGCACAGTATGTTAGTCAGGAATATGGGTATTTTTCTAAGAGTGGACTGCTTTACCATTGAGTGTACAAATCCAGCATAGAGTGAAGACAGTTTCAGATACTTGTGTTTCGTGTATGCATGACCTTAGGCTGGCCCATGGAGCTGAAGAACACCCCTTTTGCACTACTACACATGGATGACCTTTTCCCTTTTCTGTAAAAGATCAATATTTTGAAATTTGTCTTGGAGAAGAATTGCTTGATTTCCCCTTTTATAGTTGTCAATTTAGGCATCATCCAGGAGTACAAATCAGAATCTTTGTGAGACTTCTTACTGCAATCAAGTCAACTTCATACACCATCCTTAATGCTTCATTTACTGATGCTATTACATACTAAAATCAAGCCTGCTATTTTCAAAAACACTAGTACATCATTGAAAACATTAGGGACTGGGGTTTTTATAATGCACCAATTCTTCGGGATTTTTTTTTACGTGTGTGTGTGTGTGTGTGTGTGTTTCACTTATGAACTCTTCTTGATATAAGTGTATCGTCCAGAAAAAAATAGCTTTTAAAACATCTATGGTCAAGAATCAGATAACACCAAAATAATGTAAGTTATTCATTACTACATTGGTATTGTATTTCCCAGTTCAAATTAATGAAACCTTTCCTCACTCCATAGTGTAGGATGTATTTGGCAGGACAAATATCAGAGCCATCCTTCACCATTAAATTGGGCAAAGGAAACTCACTGGTTCTCAAACTGTTAAATGGATATTAGGCTCTTAATGAATGGAACAGTTATCTTTGTGCCAGCTTAACTAACAACGTTGACATGATTAGCATACATTTTGGCAACTGTTCTAGCACAGGGTCTTAGGAAAAAGAAGCTTTTATCTTTAAGCTTAATTTACTTTAGTTTTCCCTGTTATTTCTGTTTTTAATGTGAACAAAATAATGTGTAAAGGAAATCCTACAACAAAAATACTTAACAATCCATAATTTTATTAAGGTTATAAATATTTCTCATGCAGGAAATGAAGTTCAATAACCACCCCCAACACATGAACCATGTTCAAATTTTGAAGTGAATAGAATATTAATTTTTCTCTTTATAATAATAATACAAACCATGGAGCTGGTGGAGGACTTATTTTTTGCTAAAGTTGCTACATGTCTCTTAAGTAGCTCCTCCTTTAATAAAAGAAACTAAGGAAAACATGACTAGGAAGGATGTTTTCCTCCTTCATTATGTAAGAGTTGTGAATGAACAATTTATGGGCTTAAATGGCCTTACAAATCTCTTAGTACAAGTGCCTATCATACAAAAGGTACTTTCATGAAAATATATTGAAATTTTTTCTCAAACTCCTCTGCCTTATATTTACTTATTCAGACCACCAAATTGAAGAAAACAAGAAAAAAATAACTAATGAAAAGTTAATGAGTACTGTGCATGTATTTAAGATTTTTTTCTTCATGGTGCGTTATTACCTTAAAAATTATTGCAAGCTAATGAAACACAGCAAACAAGAGGTATGCTGGAATGAAATGTGAAAAAAGTTATATGGATATTAAATCTAAAATTAATTAATATGAATATGCACATGCATGGGTGTAAATTTTCATAAGAGCTTAAGCATACAAGCATACTCTCTTCTATGCATGTTACAATTATACACACCCTTAATAATTTACCCAATGCTTAATTAAGCCATGAAGTATTTTAATATAAACTTTCACATAGCAGAATACTACAATTTCTCACATTTAATCCTGAAAATAAACAGACACAAATAGCAGGCACTTCAGTGAAATAACAAGCCAATGTTCAAATATAAAATGGTAAAAACAATCAAGAAATTATGAAAATATAAACTTTTAATTTGCAGACATATAAACAATTTTGGTATGGTACAGATACATGATGATGATAGTAAAGTGACCCATTTGAAGCTAACACATTTCTTGTTTACACTGACAGCTTTGCTATAGTTCTTACATAAAATTTCCATCTCATGCAAAGATGGGAAAGTTAGAAATCACTGACAAGCCAGTTTGCTTCATTGCAAAAGAGTCAGTAAAAACTAAATTATCAAAGGAATCTGTTTACAAATAAACTGCTGTATGTTTTCCATAACCAAAGGGATGGTAGCAAGTGGAGCTCAACAACTACAAAAGGTATTACTTTCACATCAGATACACAACTAAAACAGCCAGTAGTGTACACTAGCTTTCACAGGAATTCGATTTGAATGCAACTTTTGATTTTTCATATGTGGTAGATGAATATAATCATACACGACCTAACATCTAACCCAAGAACAATTTCCCGCTGACAAGCTGAGGATGCACTGGTGTCGTACACGCCAAGCAAGCAAGTGGAGATTGAGACGCTGATGTGCTTGCTCTTTTACTGAGTTCATTGTCTTGTTACATTTTACAAAACGAAGAAAACACAGATGATGTCCACTGCCTCTAACTCTGGCAAGTGCTGTGCTAAAGAAATCAGACAGCAGGTGGACATACACAAAGTAGTGTGCTAGCCATCCGTTCAAATTTGGAACACATGGCAATGTTTTGATGCTTGCCCAACATGAATTGCACTTCTTTTTAAATGCCTTCTCTTTCAAACTATAATTGATGTACTTATGAGGTAATGTATTTTGTTTACAAGTGGATTTTTCAATCTTATCATATATTTAAGTAGGGAAATTCAATTTACTTTAATTTATATTTAATGTGAAAAACAATATATTTAAAATATACTCTCTCATTAATTTCATGTACAACAACTAGCATGTACAATACTGCAGTTTCCTGCAAAGGGGCAGCTGGTGCCCTCTTGTGGTGAAAAGACATTTTAGAACAACAAAAATGTACTTTTCTTACCTTCGTCTTGAGTTTTGTCAGTCATCTGCTTGGTGTATGAGAGCTGCCAATTATGTCCAGTGTTTTATATATATATATTATAAATAACAATGATATAGCTGTTAGTTCTGATTTTCATTTAAAAATTCTGTACACATTTTATAACCTCTGAATTTGAATTAAAAACCTGTAAACAGCTATTTACAATATATTACAAGTTATAAATTAGTTGTCCTTCAGTGGAACTGCGTTAGCACAGCATTGTTTGCATTGACATAGACTACCCCTGGTAGTTAAAACATCCCTCTGTGTTATTCCACAAGGAAACATCAAATATTAGAAATATCCATTGGTTTTCTCTCTCTCATACACAAGTCAATTGTTCCTTTCAGTGGAATTTGTACTTCCAAATTTTCATTTTCCCTGGGATGCTTTTTACCTCTCCGTAAGCAGATATATATCCCCATCCCTGTGACTAGTGTGATGGAGCCCAGGCTTATGACAGACAGAGCTACTAATGTGGGCATACAGGACACAGATTCTACCTTCCTATGAGTTGGTTCTATTGAGATTTGTGGTTCTTTCTCTTCTATATTAATCTCTGGTTCTTTTCTTAAGAGACTCTCAATATAGCTCTCATTACTGACAGTGTCATTGACAAATAGGTTCACCATGACAGTGGAATGCAGAGGTTCAGGGTAGCCATGGTCACTCACTTTTACCAGCAAGCGATGCAGTCCATAGTCCGTCTGCAGCAAAGCTTCTTCAAGAGTTATGTTGCCAGTTTTAGGGTCAATCCTGAAGGACTCAGGCCGGGGACCTCTTCTCCCTATGATGCTGTAAGCTATGACAGCATTCATGCCAGTGTCTTTGTCAACAGCATAAACCTCTGTTACTGGTGAGCCAGGGAGAGTAGAGGGTAGGACCAACAAATAAGACATATTCGATTGAGGAAATAAGACAAGGGGAGGGTTATCATTGATGTCCAGAAGGAGAATCGTGATTTTTGTGGTAGAAGAAAGGGCAGGCTCACCCCCATCAACAGCTTCCACCCACAGAGTGTAGGAGCTTTGCTGCTCTCTGTCTAAAGACACTTTAGCTCTCAGCATGCCCTTGCCTGTATCTATGACAAAAATGTCACTCTGGTTTACCACTGAGAGGGCTACCCATCCATTCCTCCCAGCGTCAGCATCGGTTACACTAATGACTCCAATTTCACCATATCCTGGAAAGTTTTCTGGCACAAAAAAGCTGAAGTCCTTGTTGATGAATCTAGGACTGTTGTCATTTTTATCCAACACAGTGAGAGCCACTGTAGCCACGGATTCTCTGGGTGGCTTCCCACAGTCCACAGCACGGACAGTGTACCTATACTTTTCTTTCTCTTCTCTGTCCAGCTGAGTAGAAACTGTCAGAATCCCTGTGACATTGTCTAAGGAAAAATATGATGGTGCATCTGGTCCCAGGAAATAGGAAACTTGACCCCTCTCTCCACTATCTGCATCTGTAGCATAGAGCTTCGTTAGAAAGGCATTGGGTGCATTGTTTTCTTCAATAGTCAGTTCTATCAAAGGTTGAAGGAAAACAGGAGCATTGTCATTGTCGTCTAAAAGTTGTACTTTAATGATTCTCTTGTCGTGAAACCCTTCTGAGTTCCAGGCCACAACAGCTATTTCATAGAATTGCTGCTGCTCATAGTCCATAGGTTTTGTGGTCTCCAACAAATATTCATTGCTGTACGGCTTGTAGGGTGCTAGCCTAAATGGCCCTTCACCGTCCAGGTAGCAGTTAATCTTGTATTTACCTTCTGGATCTCTTATGGTGAAAAATGCAATTGGAGTGTTAACAGGCTCCAGTTCTTTCAGATATACAACCCCATCCTTCTCATTTGCAATATATCGTGGGACAATTTCTGGGGGTCTGAAAACGACTTTAATGATGGACACAAGAGCAGTGATCACTGCAGGGATACAGCCTGGTCCATTAGCAAGGATGGTGAGCTTGTGTGTCTGTAGAACATTCCCACCAATCTTACTGAAAAGCGTAATGACTCCAGTAGTCTCATCCAGGTGGAATAAATCCTTGGATTCTTGTGGAACTTTCTGGCTGTAACTATATGCAATCTGTGCATTGGTCCCCAAGTCTCTGTCTACAGCCTGGACAGTTGCAATGGGGGTGCCCACTGTAGCATTTCCATAAACGGTGACATTAATTTGTGAGTCTATAAAGACAGGACAGTTGTCATTAATATCACTTATGCCAATGGTGAGAGTGGCACTGCCCAGCAGTGGTGGAGACCCACCATCTTCAGCTATGATGATGCTCACATACTGGTCCTGGGTTTCTCTGTCCAAAGCACCCATGACAATCAGGTAGGGGGTTCGTTCCCCATTCTCATTCTCCTCCACGTCCAGGGTAAACGTGCCATGGTAGTCCAGTAAACGATAGGTTTGCACCCCATTAATGCCGACATCAGGGTCCACGGCCGGGTGCTCTATTGCCAATCGGGTGTTTACAGGTGAATTTTCCGGGACCCAAACCGAGATTTCAGAAATTGGGAACTGTGGAGCATTGTCATTGATATCCCTGATGGCAATTTTCACCTTCACAAACCTAAAATATTCCTGAGGCAGGACCAGTACATCCAGAAGCAAAAGGCAAGAGTCAGAGGAAGGAGAGGAGGCTATGGAGGTACTGCCGCCCCAGGCAGCCCCTCCGCCCCCATCGAGACACAGTGCTTCTCTGTCGATCTCCTGTGCAGAAGTGTGCAGCTCCCCAGAGCGGTTGTCTAGGGTCACATACTGGCCACTCAGTCCTCCAGAGGCCAAGCTGAAAGAGAGAGGGGGGTTCCCCTCCGTGGCCGTGCGCTCAGGGTGCAGCAACTGCTGGCTCTGCCTCCCAGAAGCCCGGGGCAGCAGCCTTAGGTCTTCGGCCAGGCTGCCTATGAGCACGCCCGCGGGCAGTCCCTCATTTAGACTGTACAGAAGCTCGGTGGCACGGCTGTAACTCGCCAGGCAGTTGAACGGTCCCACGAAGAGGAAAAGCAGAAAAACCTGCTGGAGTGAAGGGAGGGGAGAAGGTGATTACACATTCCGGGAAACACAGAGGGCAGTTAGCAAAGAGTGACCCCCCGCCCAGGACAATGCTTATCCTCATCCTTTTCCACAAACAAAACCTCTCATTTCGAGAAAAGTGACAACTTGCTGCCAGAGAAGGAGGTCTGGGGAGCAAAGCTGCCTCGGAAACTTAACTCCTTTCTCGTCCTCTTATATTTTCCCCACTCCCACCCGGTACGGTCACTAGCCTCGTCTAGCAAACATTTAGAATCCCAAATCTCAAGGCACTGGGTCCCTGGAAACGTGCAGCAGAGAAGACTTCCACTCAAAAGGCTGCGCAACGCGACAGGAAACCTCCTTAGGTTGTGGGGAAAGAAGGGGATGGTGGCGGAAAGCACTGAGCGATGAACCATTTACTTCTCATTGGAATGATTCTGCCATTAAGGTCCCAGAACACCTAATGTCTTGCACTCATTTTCTATGAAGCCACTGTAAACAACGCCACCAACACAAATAATAAAAGCAATAACAATAATATGGAAAATTGAGCCATACTCCCTACCTGCTCCCCACCCCACCCCCATTTAGACTGGAGGGAGGAAAGTGATTTTTTTCCCCGTTTTTGTTCGTTCATAAAATCAAATCAAAAGATCTGGGTCGCTACCTCTTATCATGCCCTCTGCCTCCTGCCAAGCCTAGGACTCAGCAAAGTAAACGCGGAATATTATTATGCAAAAACATTTGTCAGTTGCAGTAGGCAGACAGTTCCAAGCTGACATCCACCACAGGAATCAGTCTTTACATCCCTGAATACAAAGCGGATAGCGGGCACCCTGACCCTCCAGCTCATCCAACATTTCTGCTTCAGAAACTTCCTCTCTCGACCCGAGGGCCGAAGCTATTTGCTAAAATACCATAGGCGCTGTAACCAAAACTCCTTTCTCCCCCTCCCATCTTCTGGTGAAGTTTGCATTATGGGAAAACGTTTGAAAACACCGTCAAGGAGTAGGAACAGCTGGAGAGCATTGCAACTTCTGGGGGACGCGGGGTTCCTGCATCCTTACCGGCAGGTTCCTGTGGCTGGTGCTGCTTCTGGGACGATGTAGATGCCCCATATCCAGGCACGGGTGCCAGGTCGACAGGCGCAAGCTCACTGCCTGGACCAGCGAGCTGCGCGCGTTCCCTCGGCCGCGCATTCCCTGGGAGGCTGCAGTCAGCGGGCTCCAGAAGGGAGGGCGGAGGAGGACACTCCCTCTCTGTTCATGCAAATCGCGGGGGAACTTCAGCCAATAGTCACTGGCCTGTCAATTAAGAGCAGGAACTCGGATGGACTGAAAAGCCCAGGGCCAGAAGGGGACATTTACAGTGTCCACTCCTGGGCATGATATGTCCACAACCCGCCAAAGAAGCCAGAATGAGGACTTGCTCTTCAAGGCTGCCAGGAGATGCCACTAGGTCGGGCATCAGAGCGCCTGCCAACCCGCGGTGCTCTATACTGCACCAGTTAAATCCCAAGTCCACAGGTTGCTAGCAAGAGAGTGAGAATTCAAATAAATAAACACCATACCGGTATTCCAACAAAAAAAGCAGGTCCCACAAAAGCCTGCCAGTTCCTCCCAGTCATGGGGATCCAGTAGAAACAAAAAACAAAACAACAAGAAAAACCCCACTTTTCTCAAACCACAGTCATCTCAGCTTCTTTGTGCCAAGATGTGAGCCAGAAAGCGAATTTTTGAAATCCATGAAGATTCCTCATGTCTTCATTTAAAGCTTCATTTTAAGCTCCCCTGTTGGTGATGGCAAAGATGATAGTTTTCAGGGTGTAAGTGTCTCTAGGTGTCAGCCTGGAGGTTTGATTTTAGAGACAACCGCCTTTTCTGGCTGAAAGACTAGAAGGAAGTCCTGTGAATGAGTGTGTGTGTGTGTGTGTGTGTGTGTGTGTGTGTGTGTACGCCCGCGTGAGCAGGCACTGCAAGCACACCGCAAGCATTATCAGCCTGGAAAAGGAATATTTAAAGAAGAGAAATCAGTCACCGAAGCTTAAATCAAGAACTGGTTACTTTTCAAATTATTGTTTGCTCTCCTCTTCTCACTCTGCTCTCCTAAATGCCTATTGGAGAAGTGCCCCCTGAGAAACAGGTTTCCGAGCAGCATCTAAAATGCTTTGCTATCTTTTCTGACTCTGATCCCCAACAGTTTGTGATCTGCAATCTTTCCAGAAGTCAGAGCTGGAGGGAAAATCCAGTGATTCAGTCTGTGAATCTGCTTGATCTGCAGGGTGCCGTATAAATAATGACCAAGGCCATTCATCCTCTCTTCAAGTCTATGTTCTCTTAACTAGGCTTTCAAATTCCCCCCTTTAATGGCTTAAACAGAACTTCTCATTTGCTGGGTGGTCAGTGACTGAGTCTAGACCAGAAACATCGCTTCCTCTGGCATCAGAAAGAGCAATTTTCTGTGCATTCCAGAGGAAAGCTAATTTAGTTTCCTTCTACCTTGTACTAACAAACATAGAAATTGTTTGCCTAAGCTAATTGTTCAGCTTATGGCCTTATTTCCGTGATACTAGGTTCAGAGTCCTAAATATTGAAAAAGTACCCCCTTAGAACACCTGGAGTATAACTACTTGTTATTACACTAGTGGTACTGTACTTGGAACAGACAAAACACTCTATAATACATATCTGACTTATAACATGAACATAGTAGCTCTTTACAGTGCTATGGGAGAGTAGATGAAGAGGCAAACCCATATATACACATCTGGCTGTGGTCTTCTGGGTAGAAGGCCCTTATGCATCTGCTAAACAAACCACATTCGGGGAGGCATGTTTACCTCATCTGCCTTACTACTTTATCAGTTGGTTCTGGCCTACAGCTGAACTTTTACCATCACTGCTAAATATTTATCTTGGAGTCAGGAGCTAACATGTTATCGGATTCTAAAAATCAGTACCACACTCCATCTAAATTGTGTTTATGTCTTGATGCAATACCATTATCCTCTGGACTTAAGGAGGATGCCTAGAGTTAGAGCGTCTTTCAATGGTCATAAAATCCACAACATGCAATAATTCAATTGCTATATAGATAGTAAATGCATTGGACTGTATATGACCACACACTTCATGCCCTCATCTACTGATTGAGATCTCTGTCTCTGATTCTGTCTTTCTCTGTGTGTAGATGTGTGTTTCTTAGATTTTCATTTGTTTATGAGAACCTTTCAGTGGAACTGTTGTTTATAAAGACCGTTAGTGACAAATTATTGTTAGTTCCTGTTATTATTGGGGAGGGAGAGGAAACCGGGATTGGTATGGAATATAAAAATAGATTGTTTAAAAAAATAAAATTAAAAAAATAAAGACTACCTTCATGATTATATTCACAACTGGCTTTCCTTTTCTCTGGAATATTTCTCTTTCTCATTACAAATCTACTTTTTAAATGTATCCCTAACACCTGACCACAGCACACTGTTTTTCCAGCACGTCATCCATCTGTCTTTATAGAAAATTACATCACTGTTCCACCTCTTTGTTAAGTCAGATAGAAATTAAAACTCCTGTTTAGACTATAATTTGTCTGCAGTGTTTCTAAAAAATATTGGCTAGAAGAACTATAGCGTATCATCCCTCCTCCAGCTCTTCAACTGAACTCCAGGAACTCACCCTAGTCCTTGACTGGTGGTCACTGCATCTGCTTCCATCAGTTACTGTATGTGGGTTCATGTTTGTCTTCCAGAGTCTGGGTTACTCACTTTGGATGTTTTTTTCTAGTTCTATCCATTTACCTGCAAATTTCAAGATGTCATTGCCTTTTGCTGCTGAGTAATACTCCATAGTGTAAATGTACCACATTTTCTTTATTCATTCTTCAATTCATGGACATCTGTTTCCTGGTTCTGGATATTACAAATAATGCTGTTATGAATATAGTTCAGCAAATTTCCTTGTGGTATGATTGTGCATCCTTTGGGTATATACCCAAGGCCAAGACCATGATGGGAAACTCACAGAGACAGATGCCTGAGCTAGTGGGAGCTCATGGACTGTGGACTGACAGCTGGGGAACCTGTATGGGGACAAACTAGACCCTCTGAATGTGGGTGACAGTTATGTGACTTGATCTGTTAGGTAGGGGGCTGGCAGTGGCACCAGGGCCTATCCTAGTGTCATGAGCTGGTTTTTGGAGACTGTTCCCTATGTTGGGATATCTTGCTCAGCCTTGATACAGTAAGGAGGGAATGGTCCTGCCTCAACATGGCATGCCAGTCTTTGTTGACTCCCAAAGGAAGGCCTTGCCCCCCATGAGGAATGGACAAGGCCTAGGTAGAGAGGAGGCAGGTGGGAGTCAGAGAAGGAGAAATAGAGGGAACTTGGGTTGGTATGTAAAATGAAAAATAATTTTATTATTTGTGAAAAAAGAACTATTGCAAAATCTATGCCAGTAAGTTGAAACACAGGCATTGAATAGTCCTGGAAGTACTATTTATGATGACAATACAAAACAGTTTTGCTTTAATTTATTCCTCCGGTTTTTGAGTCCCTCCATGAATGGTTGCTTGTCATAAAAACAAGGAGCCTTGACACAATGCTAAGTGACATCTTACATGCCACATGCACACTGTTAAATGAACTACTTGTTATCATCTTCCATACTTGAGGATCTAAGCAAAGTTTTCATGTAGTGTTTTGTTTTTTAATTGGGCTTAAAAAAAAAAACCTTAGACAAAACCAAATGAGCTTCTTTGGTTCTCTTCACTATTTTCCTGGGCATTGCAAAAGCATCCCCAGACTCTTGTTCCTTCTGGAGATAGCCTTGTGACCTACCATCTGGTGCCACAGATTTCTTTTTAAAGATGATTTAGAGAGCTTCCATGCTATTAGTCCCTTGAAAATAATACTCATGAGTTTCTCAGATGTCTCAATCACTCTGGGCCTGCTTCCCAGGTGTTTTGTAAAAATTGATTTGCAAGAATAGTTAGATTACATGCCTCCCAAGCCTATTTCTTCTGTAGACAAAGAAACAGCATGAAATAATGGCTGGTATTTTGAACAGAACAGATTTGGATTCTACTCTCTGGTTTGCTGCTTATGTCCTGTGTGACTTTAAACAAATTGGCACACCTCTACTTCAATTTTTTGTTGACCATCGCCATATACCACAAGCATCTGTATGCATGAACTGGCTTAATTGGACTCTGTCATTAGCAGATGCTGCTTGATAATACCAGATTAGTTTGATTATTATTCACTATGTTATATAACTAAGTGGTAGTAATTCTTTTCAGGTGCTGCAAGCTTTCTCTCCCTAATGTTTTTTCTTGTCGTAATGGAGTAAGAGTTTCTATGTGTCTAACAACAGACCAGCTTCAAAGGTGGTATTTCATAAGCATAATTTAAAATATTTGAATTCTTAAAATACCATGTAATTTTTTTGCTAATGTCTGTAATTAATTTCCATTGTACCTTCTAAAATTATTTTAATAATAGCATGGTATTCACAAAGGTCCATTTAATTATTAATTATACATTTAATATTAGTATATTTAATGTGATTTGAAACACAGCCCAATGTATGTTCTATCTAGTTCAAAACTGTAAATTGACATGCAATTTATGACCTTATTTAGGAATTTTGCTTGTATAATGAACAGCTTATAAAACATTAAGCATGATGTACGCAATATAATTGATATATAATTTTTTAATAGTATAACCCATATGATATGCAATACAAAAGCTTTTCTGATTGATTAAACAATGTTATTGTTGACAGCATTTAAGAGAGCAAACAGTATTTGAGGAATGTGAAAATGATCATTTATTAGTATATATATATATATATATATATATATATATATATATATATAATACAGATATATAGATAGATAGATATGTTTGTGTGTACATATATCATGCACATATGTGAATATGCATGCAAACATTCATAAACACCACACATGTACTAATGTAAAATAAGTTGAATAGCACCTAATAACAGAAAGTCAAAGTTCATCTCTAGATTCTATATTTCTGTGTTCCCTTATATGCAAGTAGATGCCTCACTCACAGAAAAACTCAAATACAAATAATAAACATGAGAAACTTCATATCATTTGCTTATTATTTCCTATGACAATTTTATAACATAATTATAACAACAATTTCACAAGCTTACCTGCTATCAAGTA